AGCCTCAGCCTCCGCACACCTCACAGAACACGTGACCCTGCCGCCCCGACCCCAGGCAGGAGCAGGTGCCGTGGGTACAGCACCCGGCTTTAGCTTCCCCAGGCCACTGTCACGGAAAACAGCACCGCCACAACTACACCCCTCAGCCCCGCCTTTGCATGGGTGACCTCCCGTTCAGATCAAAGCCGCCTTTTAGGGTCCACTCTCTGACCGTAAAAAGGGCCACTCCTTCCCAGCACCCCAGATCTTCGGGGCAGGTAAACGTTATTTAGAGGGGCGGAGGTGGGGGGGGGGTGTCGCTGTTTGGAAGCCTTCAGAAGCACTCCTGAGGAGGTGGGCACTGGGGGGGGTGGGAGGGAGACCAGAGACTCATAAAGACTAAAAGAGGGCCCTGACCGGTTTGGCTCAGTGGATAGAGCGTCGGCCTGTGGACTCAAGGGGCCCGGGTTTGATTCCAGTCGGGGGCATGTACCTTGGTTGCGGGCGCATCCCCAGTGGGGAGTGCGCAGGAGGCAGCTGATCGATGTGTCTCTCTCATCGATGTTTCTAACTCTCTGCACCTCTCCCCTCCTCTCTGTAAAAAATCAATAAAATATTTTTTTAAAAAGACTAGAAGAGGGAAGACAGCCCCTTCCCAAGGTGGAAATACATGCAACTGTAGCTGGAGGGACACAGATGAATCAGGAGAGCCGAAGCTGGCATCACTTCAGTCCCTGGCATGAGTAGAGGGAGCTACCTGAGCCCAAGGGAAGTGCTAAGAGTGGGGTGGAGCATGGGTGGGTGGAACGTTCTGGCATCTCGATTCTGCGTCAGTAGAAGAACTTTTTCACGGGCAGAGTCCTGAGTATTCAAACAGGGTGGCATGTGTGAGGCTTGGGGGCTCCAGGTTCAGAAGAGGTGGCGTGTCTCCCCTTGCTGCAAGGCAGGCTGGGAAATAAAGGCCTGGCTTCTTCCCAGGGAAGTGGGACTCACCCGGTGAGAAGTGCCCTCAAATAGGAAGGACACGCAGATCCGAGAGAGGACCAGGCTGGTGGCCAGGATGGGGACGCCTGGGACCTAGAGTTCTGAGTTTGAGCAGGTGGGAGGTCTCCGCTGCTGAGACTGGCTGAGGAGGGGCCTCCAAATTTCCACTAGTCTGATACAGCGACCGCCTAGCACCCCTGGATGGTTTAAGGGGTCCATGGAGAGACTTTTTTTTTTTTTACCATTGTGTACTCATATGAATGCGCTTTGTGGGGGAGACACAGCATAAATGTTAAAAATGATTGGATTTAAGGTAAAGGGACTGCCTGTCTTGTGTCATGATATATCCCCAGCACCTAAAACCAGGCCTGGTCCTGGCCGGGTGGCTCAGTTGGTCGGGCGTTGTCCCATGCACCAACGGGTTGTGGGTTTGATTCCTGGTCAGAGCACATACCTAGGTTACAGGTTCGATCCCCCGTCAGGGCATGTAGGGGAGGCAGCCAATTGATGTTTCTCTCTCACATTGATGTTTCTCTCTCTCTCTCTCTCTCTTTCTCTCTCTCTCCCTCTCTCCCTTCTTCTCTCTCTGAAGATCAATAGGAACATATATTCAGGTGAGGATTTAGAAAAAAACATTATAAAACAAGGCCTGGCACATAGTGGGTGCCAGGAAGGATTTGTTAGAGGAAGCGAGGGAAGAGGAGAGAAGAAGGAAGGAAATAGTAGTGCAGAGGGATGGAAACAGGCAACACTGAAGAAGGTGGCAGGAGGACGGAGTATCACAGAGATACTGAGACAGGAGAATGGGAGCAGGGTCTCACTTTTGCCAGTGAGAAGCCATTTCTCCTCCACAAAGCAGGGAAAAGCCAGGGCAGCCCCTAGGGGGTAAGTGATGGAGGAAGCGGGGTCTCCCCTCCTTTTCCTATTTCCCAACAAAACCCCAAATCTTACAGGCTCATTTCCCCACTTAGAGAACACTTCCATGTGTCAGACACTGTGATAAGAACTTATATTCATGAAGTGCGTAATAATAATAGAAAAAATTGCCCTGCCAGGTGGCTCAGTTTGTTGGAGCATCACCCATACAGCAAAAGGTTGCAGGTTCAATTCCCAGTCAGGGCACATACAGGAGGGAATCAATAGATCAGTGATGGTGAACCTATGACACCTCTGACACGCGAACTCATTTTTTTGGTTGATTTTTCTTTGTTAAATGGCATTTAAATCTATAAAATAAATATCAAAAATATACATCTTTGTTTTACTATGGTTGCAAATATCAAAAAAATTCTCTATGTGGCACGGCACCAGAGTTAAGTTAGGGTTTTTCAAAATGCTGACACGCCGAGCTCAAAAGGTTCACCATCACTGCAATAGATGTTTCTCCCTCACATCTCTCTCTCTCTCTCACTCTCTCTAAAAATCAATAAAAATGTATCCTCAGGTGAGGATTATAAAAATAATAATAACATAATGATGGTGATATCTTAACATTTTTCAATTGCTCCATGTGCCTGAAACCATCCTAAATACTTTACGGTTTACCATTTTACTACTGACAGTAGCCCTGTAGGGCAGCACTATCATGTCCCCATTTTACAGATGAGAAAACTGAGGCCCACGGGCACACGGGCTGTTGGTGACAAAATTCACACTCAGTCTAGGGCTGTTTCTGCCATTTCCTATGGGAATTCTGACAAAACCTGGGAAGTATGAGAAAGGACACAGGAAATGGGGTGGGGACCAGTTTTCTTCAGAGCAGATGAATATCTTCTCTCTTCAAGAGGGAAGCTGGCTGGAGAGAAGATGGGGACTGGAGTCAGAGGACGAAAGAGAACTGAGCCCTAGCGAGAGGGGAAGGATCTCCCTGTAACTGAACCCTCTTTCTGAGCCTTCCAGGAGATAGAGAACTAGCCCTCATCTCTGAGCCAGGTTTAGGGGCAGGGCAGACAAGGGGCCACCTCTGGGAACCCAGGGGAGAAAGGGAATTGGGGGGAGGGCCGGGATGATGGATGGGAAGGCACCCTGAGGCGAGCCAATTACCTAATAGGCTTAATGGTCTGATTAGGCAAGTTTAAGAGGATTGCCTTGGGCTCAGGGAAACCCCTTCATTCTGGACCCCCTCCCCATGCAGGCACAGCCACACTTAACCCCTCACCCTCGGGACCCCCACCTTAGCACATCAGGGAACCCAGAACCTTCCATCTTAAGGGTCCAGGTAGAGATGGGCAGGGCTCCCAGGCCCCGACCCTGCTCCCACTTTTCCCAGCAGTTTCTCCTTATCTGAATGTTGGAATGTTGGAGTTTCATGGGAGAACATTGAAAATAGGTTTCCTTTGCTTGGGATGTGTTTTACAACCTTAAGCTTTGGAGACAGGACAACCTGGCTCCCCCTCCCCTGTCCCCCCA